AATGTTTGGTTGGGACTCTGGAGAAACAAGAAATGTTGCCCTCCCGGGGGGACTCTCGCCCCCCGCCCCGGATCCGCCCCCTCCTTCCCCCATTGGCTCCCTCCCCAAATCCCCACCCTGGCCCCGCCCCTTCCCCAACCACGGGGCATTCCTCCTCCCTCCCAGGCTTGCAGCTGCATGGCGGCACAAGCCGGGAGGGAGGGGGGTGGTGGCAGCGCCTGAATCCTGGAGCTGGTGAGTCAGCTCCGGCACCCGGGCACCGGGCTGGCAAAGGGGGGCTGGCGAGGCCGAGGGAGGGAGGGAGACGGGGGCCCGGGGCCAGGAGCGCAGGGCGGAGGCTGTTCCAGCCCTGTAGCCCGCGGGGCAGCGCGGTGGGTCCGGGCGGAGGCAGCGCGGAGCGGGCAGGGGCCGGGTGGACGGCGCAGGCTGAATCACCGCTGCTGCCGGAGAGCCCTGCGCCTCTCCCTCCCACTCGCGGCTGCAGCTCCTTCCCGGCGGGACGCACCTCCCACCCCCCGGCCCGCCCTGGGCACATGTGGCGCATGTCCCGCCGCTGGCAGGGAGCCCCGTGCCTCCCCCACTCGGCTGCACATTTCTAACTGTTCTTCCTTGATAATTCCTGCCCCACTGCTGCCAGATGTGGAATAGCCGTCGCATTTTTCATTCTCCGCTCTCTGCTGCTATCATATGGGCACTTCAGCTGGTCAGAGATTTTTTTTTTAAAGGCATCTACCTCTGTGACATTTAAAAGTGAGTTACACTTATTTTTCAATTGCTGGTGTAAACAGGATTTGTTCTCTGCTCAGTGACTTCTTTTTCCTGCCACAATCCTATCAAAAACCTCTCAGCTTCTTCAGTATTTCTGCTCCACCTCCCCTCCTTTTGCAAACACTTGGGTCACCGGGTGGGCACAGGTAATAAAGAGAATGGATGTCCCAGCGCTGAGACTCTCCTAGGAGTATCTAATGGGGACAGAAGGCCAGTTTTAGGAGCATGGACTGACACGCAGCTTGGGGGAAAGGGGAGGGAACCGGGCCCTGAGAAGAAGACACAGGTTCTGGGCTGGTGTTGCAATGCTAGGAATGACAAACGCATTGGAAAAGGGACGTTTTCTGTAGGGTCTTCTTAAACAGACACACAACTCACAGTCAATCTGTGGAACTCCTTGCCAGAGGATGCTGTGAAGGCCAAGAGTATAACGGGGTGAAAAAAACACTAGATACATTTTTGGAGGATAGGTCCATCAATGGCTATTAGGCAGGATGAATAGGGATGGGGTCACTACCCTCTGTTTGTCAGAAGCTTGGAATGAGCGACAGGGGATGGATCACTGGGTGATTACCTGTTAGGTTCACTCCCTCTGGAGCACCTGGTATTAGCCACTGTTGGTAGACAGGATACTGGGTTAGATGGCCTTCGGTCAGACCCAGTCTGGCCATTCATATGTTCTTATGTAACAGTGTGTGTGTGGGTGGGTGGATGTGCTGCTCCTGGCAGGGTGGGATGAGGCCCGGGGGATGTTTGGGGCTCCAGGGGAAGGAACAGCCACAGAGAGTTCCTGGTGGGGGTTAGAGGCCGGCAGGGAAACATCCAGGCAAGAACGAGCAGTTTGGATTCTGGCGAGACACTGAGGCACCAGAATCAGTGAATTTCCCCTGGGCTTCCCTGCGCGGCGCTGAGTGGGAGGGGACTGGGCAGGGAGAGACGCTGCAGGGTCTGGGCTTTGTCAGAACAGGGGCTGCGATGCCTGGGACACAGGGGAGAGTCTGGACCAAGCCCTGGAGAGAAATGCAGCAGCTGATAGGTACTTTCCGTATAAAAAGCCATGTGTGGGTGTGGGTGTGTGGGTGTGGGGGGGGAGGGTGTCCGCGCCTTACTCTGTACATCCGTGAATCGGTCCCTGCCTGTTCCTAGAGCCACTGAAATACAAACCACTCACTATATTTTGGCAGTAGCTGGACACAATTCCTGGGGCAGCTGACAGGTCAATTGGGTGCTGAGAGACTGGAGGATTCTGGGAGCAGTTTGGATAATATCTCTGGGGATGTTTGTCCTGTTCTAGCCAGTGTGTGTTCCTGGGCTGTGGGGGGGGTGGGGGCTCAAGTCCCCTTGTCACTCTGGACTCACTTGGCTTTTTATCAGCCGCTTCCCCTTTTTGTACCGGTCCCGCTCTGCTCCGTGTCACTGTGTGTGTCTCTGGCGCAGTAATAGGTGGCGGTGTCCGTAGCTGTCAGCGAGCGCAGCTGCAGGGAGAGCGCGTTTTTCGCCGTGTCTCTGGAGAAGCTCAGGCGGCTCTGGAGAGACGGGGTGTAGCCTGTGCCCCCGCTAGCGCCTATATACCCGAGCCACTGCAGGCCTTCGCCGGGAGGCAGCCGGACCCAGTTCCAACCATAACCGCTGCTAGTGATGGAGAAACCGGAGACAGCACAGGTCAGGGTGAGGGTCTCTCCGGGCTTCACCGCTCCCGGGCCGGACTGGACCAGCTGCACCTGGCAGAGGACACCTGGGGAAAGGAAAACAGAGTGTTAAGGCCCCGATTCTGCTTCAAGCCGTCGATCCTGTCTCCCAAATCTCCCCTGGACACTCACCTGGGGCAGCGTCCAGTTGCAGCACGAGGACGAGTAAAGATTTCATGCTGGTCTTCAAGTGAAACGCAAACCAATGAAGATGCAGGTCAGGCCCTGAGCAGGCGGGTCCCGGTGAGAACCCAAGAGCTGCTCTTTAAACGGGGAACGGGGGCCTGAGATTTGCATAAAACATCCCAACCTCCTACGCCCCTCTTGAAAAGGAGCTGGAACAAGGAGCGATCTCCAGCGCCCATTGGCCAGTCCCCCCTCGTTAGCTGTGCGACAGGTCGGGGGATGAGCAGAGCATTAGAGAACACCTCCTAATCACT